TCCTCCTCCTCCTCCTCCTCCTCTTATCAGTCTTATGAGTATTATCATTGTTCTTAGTGTTCTTATGATTCGTGTTATTAGTAGTATTAGCAATATCGCTTTAGTGTTCTTAAATAATACCAGTAGAAATTAGTAGCATGGGCATTATTATTCGTTATAGTATTATTAATCACATAGGGCGCACGCCCAGGCCCCGCGTGCTCCACTCCTCCGGGGGGGGGGGCGGGGAAGGGGGCGCAGGAGCGGCGGGGGCGACGGGGGGGGGCAGGGAGGGGCGAGGGGCGGGGGGACCGGGGAACAGGCGGACAGGGGTGCGGCGTTGCGGGGGAGGGCGGGGACAGGGCCAGCGAGGGGCGGGGGGCGGCGGTGCGGGGGGGCGGGGGACAGGGCCGGCGAGGGCGGGGGCCCGGCGGCGCGGCGGCTGCACCTCCGTGTGCAGGGAGACGAGCAATGGCAGAAGCACAAAAACTATGAGGTCCGCGCAGATTTTTCTCGGATCGGCGCTGGACCGCGCCAGGGGCGGCGCCAGAGGCGCCGCTGGGGGCCCCAGCGCCGATGCGAGAAATCCGCGCGGACCTCCAACGTTTTATGTTGTGTCGTTGTTGGTTTCCCTAGTACGAGCTCCCCCCCCTGTCCTGGTCCCCAAGGCTGGGCCCCGTACCAATTGTGGCCGCCGCCGCGCGCCCACGCAGCGGCGCCGTGCTCCGGCGACCACGCCTGCTTGTCCCACGGCTGCTGCGCGGCGTAGTGGCCCCAAGCGTCGTACTGCATCTCCTCCCGGCAAGGCTCGGGGGCGGGCAAACATGGATCGGGGGAGGTGCCCTCCCCAAATGAAAGACTCACTGCGGGGAGTTGTTCGCCATCTTCGGCCTCTGGGGGCCCTTGCCGGGCCGGGGGGCCGTCAACAAAAAGACTCGGGATGAGAAGCTGGTCCCAGGGAGCGGGTCGAGACCCTCTGGGGGTCGACGCCATGAGAACATCACAACGTCGGGGGGCGGGGACGAACAGCGTCCGCCCGCCAAGCTGGAGCTCAAAGCCCCCGCCCCTGCCTGCATCCCATCGACCCCCCCCCTCTGTCTGTCTGTCTCTCTCTCTCTCTCTCGCTCTCCCTGTGGAACTGCTGGAAGGCCCGGGAGCCTGGTGGCCCCGCATCCCTCCTTTTCCCTCCCCTGCCCCCCTCGCTCCCCCCGCATCCCTCCCTGCCTCCTTCGCTCGCCCTCGCGCTGCGCAAATTTGTCCGAAGAGCTTGCAACTCCTGCACGGATCCCGGGCGGGTGACATTCGAAATGGGGCTCTCGCCGCAGCCTCGCGCACATTAGCCGTAAAAGCTCGCAACAACAGCTACAAGGGTGCAAGGCGGCTGGTGTTCAACATGAAAATCTCGCGTAAGCGCCGCGACCATCCGTCTTAGCAGTTTGCAGCTTTACGAGGATGCAGGGCAACTGGTTTTCAGAATGGGGATGCGCCCCAGCGCCACACAGTTGCAACATCTGTGAGGATGCAGGCCGGCTGGTTCAAAAAGTGGGGATCTCGCCTGAACGCCGCGCAGATTCGCGCCAAAAGCTTACAGCTGATATTCAGAAGGATGCAGGGATGCTGTCTATCAAGATTTGGGAAAGGCGAGGAGGAGGAGGGGGAGGGGGACGGGGAGGAGGAGGAGGAGGAGGAGGAGGAGGAGGAGGAGGAGGAAGAGGAGAAGGAGGAGGAAGAGGAGGAGGAGGACGAGAAGGAGGAGTTGGTTGAACAAGTGGGGTTCTCGCTCGAGACTTAAGCATTCAAGGCCAGATGCACGAACTTACAAAAACAGCTGCACGGATGAAGTTGGCTCCTTTTCAAAGAGAGTACGGCTTGTCGCATTCCCAGCCACTAGCTAGAAGGATGCAAGGCAGTTCCTTTTCAAAACGGGGTCCTCGCCTGAATGACACGCCCACAGAGCGCTTTTCTTTCCAGGGGGCGCTTCCGAAAGCGAGCAGGAAGGCTTGCGGCTTGCAGGGATTTGTGAGGAGAGGAGGTGGGACGGGATCGGACGTTCGTGAGAACAGAGGGTTTCCTCATCTGGCGTAGCCCCGTCGCCTGTCCCCCTCCCTCCCTCATGCCCTCCTCCGTCGCCCTTGGTTTAAGTGGCTGCTGAAATCACAGCATATTTCTTGTGGGGTTTCTGGGCGGTGCCACAGCTCGCCTGCTCCGCCCGGGCGAAGTTCGGGCCCGCAGGCCCCGAGTAATGGGTAGAGGCAGGGCCAGGTCCCCCCCTCCAGTGAGGGCAGGGGTTCCGGAGGGGAGCCCCCCGGCCCGTGCTTTAAGTCCAGGGGCTTAAGGATATTTCGCTGGCAGTTTGAGGCTAGAGGTGGAGGGTATTTCGCTGGCAGTTTCAGGCCACGGGGTGGAGGATATTTCGCTGGCGGTTTTACTCGACGGGCGTGAATATATTTTGCTGGCGGTTTAAAACCAGGGGGGAAGATATTTCGCTGGTAAAGCCACGGGGTGAGGATATTTCGCTGGCAATGTTCAAGCGAGGCGTGTGAGGATCTTTCGCTGGCAGGATAAAGTCCGGGGGATGAGGGCATTTCATTGGCAGTCTTAGGCCAGGGGTTGAGGATATTTCGATGGGACCTGGTGCGGGCATCCACGCGCCACGCGATGCAGTGTTGCGTCTTGCCCTGTCTGGCCCAAGCGAAAGCTACGCATGCAGCGCGGTGCTGCGCCCGTATATATGCTCGCCCCTTGGCGTGGGGCTGGCGGGGGGCCGAGCTGGTGTTTCCCCGGGTGGGGATATGTCGGTGGCGGTTAAAAGCCAGGTGGGTGAGGATATTGCGCTGGCAGTTTGACGTCCAAAGGGTGAGGATATTTAGCTGCTGGCAGTGTAAGGCCAGGGGCAGTGAGGATATCTCGCTGGCAATTTTAGGCAAGGGCGTGAAGATATTTTGCTGGCAGTTTTAGGCCAAGGGTGAAATAATATTCCGCTGGCAGTGTCAACCAAGGGGTGTGAGGATATTTCGCTGGCAGTTGTAAGAGCGCGTTTCTTTATGTTCGGCGATGAGGGGCGTCATGGGGGGGGGAGGGCGGGGGGGGTATGACGTGACGCCCCCCCCCCGCCGTGTGGCTCCGGCACCACAGCCGCGCCCGCGCGCACGACGCGACGAACGACGAACGACGAGCGACGACGACGACGCGAGCAGCATGTAAGTGGCGATCTGCCCATTGCGCCTGTGTACACCACAACGCTCGCGTGCACCACACCGCGCGTGTGCACCACAACGCCTGCGCACACCGCAAACAGCCGTGTGCAACGCACCGCCCGCGTATACCACAATACTCGGGAGCACTACAGCGCCGGTGTACATACACCGCAGCAACCATGTGCAACAATACGCCTGTGTACACCACTGTGCTTGCGTGCGCCACAACGCCTGTGCACGCCACAGGGCCTGTCTACACCACAGCATCCGCGTGCAACGCAGCGCTGTACACCACAGCGCCTGCGTGCATAGGACAGGTAGAGAAGGAGCATGTACGTCAGGATCCGCTGCGGACAACTAAACGCCACGCCAGGAAAGTTCTGATAATCGAATGCGACGTTTTTCCCTCTTCCCTCCTCCTCCACCTCCTCCTCCTCCTCCTCCTCCTCCTCCTCCTCCTCCTCCTCCTTCTCCTCCTCCTTACCCCCTGTCGTGCGGTTTGGCGTTGCAACGCACGTGCGCATCTCACCGTGCACCGCAGAATGGTCGATTGAATCGGTCCACTTGGTTCTCGGACGGCCTGTTTAGCTGGAGCCTCCTCGACGCAAATGGGAGTTTGGGTGATGCGGGCGGACTCGGGGGGACTCGTAGATACCAACGGCGCTCCTGCGTCCATGAGGATTTGTTTTCCACTGTTTCTCTGGATTCCACACGCGTTCCATGTTGTCACAAGGATCCATTCTGACATTCTATACACAACAATGGCGCTGTGTTGCACACGGCTGATGTGGTGCACACAGGCGCCGTGGCGTACACAAGCACTGCAATGCACGCAGGCATTGTGGTGTACACTGGTGCTGCGTTGCGCACGGCGGATGTGGTGTACGGAAGCGCTGTGGTGTACACAGGAGCTGCTGTGCCCGCAGGCACGGTGGCACAAACTGACGCTGTGTTGCACGCGGCCGCTGTGGTGTACATCGGCGGTTTGGTGTACACAAGCGCTGTGGTGCACGCGGGCACTGTGATGTACACAGGCGTTGTGGTGCAGATCGCCACCTACATGTTCGTGCTACCCGTCCTCCGTCATTCCTAAGCATTCCCAAACGCCGCCGGCGCGAAACGTGACGTCATCGCCCCCCCCCCAGATGATTGCCGTCATCGGCCCGGACATAAAAAAAAGCTCCAGCAGCGTCCGCGCGCACGACGATGAGCGACGAGCGACGAACCACGAGCGACGATGACGACGGACGACGACGACGACGACGACGACGACGACGACGACGACGACGACGACGACGACACCTGCGGACCAGACACCCATGCGGATTCCTACGCGGACTCCTACGCGGATCCCAATGCGCACGGCGGCAGTGCCCGGAGCGCACTGGGGGGGGGAGCGTTACGTCATAGGGGGGGGAAGGGGGGGGGAGCGGGGGCCATGACGCCCGCCATGCCCCAAGCAATAAAGAAACGGGCTCTAAGTCAGGAGTTGAGGATATTCCGGCGGAAACTTTAATGCGGGGGGTGGGAATATTTCGCTGACAAGTTAACATGACGGGAGTCAGGATATATCGCCGGCAGTTTAAAGGCCAGGGGTTGAAAATGATGAAACGGCAGTTTTAAGCCAGGGGTGAGGATATTTAGCAGGCAGATTTCAGTCAGGGGGTTAAGGATACCTCGCTGGCAGTTTTAAGAAAGGGGGTGAGGATATTTCGCTAGCGGTTTTTTGAGCGAGAGGTGTGGGGCTATTTCACTGGCAGCTTGAATTCAGGGGGTGGGTGATATTTCGCTGGCGGTTTCAAGCGAGGGCGTGAGGATATTTCACTGGCGGTTTTCAGTGAGGTGTGTGAGAATATTCCGCTGGCAAATTTAGGCCATGGGGTGGGAATATTCCGCTGAGGGGTGTGAGGATCTATCGCTGGCAGTGTTACGCCAGCGCGGTGAGAATATTTCGTTGGCAGCCTTAGGCCAGGGGTTGAGGATGTTTCGATGGGACCTGGTGCGGGCATCCATGCGCCACGCGATGCAATGTTGGGTCTTGCCCTGCCTGACCCAATGCAGCGCGGTACTGCGCCAGTACATATGCTCACCCCTTGGCGTGGGGCTGGCGGGGGGCCAAGGGGCGAGCTGTCCGGTGTTTACCACGCATTCCTCATGTAGAGGGACATGCCCGATTTAACGCTACGCCCTGGACCTCTTCTGGGGCGCTGTCTGACCAGGATTTCGAGGCGAATCCATCGGTGGCGACGAGGGCCCCCCAGGAAACCCAAAGGGCGAAAACGAATGCGAAGGGCAGCGGTATGTATACCTGTTTTTCCTCTACTCTGACCTTCGATGCCCTCGATGCCCGACTTAAGCCTCGACGAAACCAACACAACCAAAGTCTCATTGTGGAGCCCTTCTCCCCCTCCCGCCACTGTTTTCGAGCACACAGACACTCGCGCAGACTCCACACACACACACACACAACTCCTCGGGGGGCAGGGGGCTGAGCGGGACAGAACGAGGTTCCCCTCCTCCTCCTCCTCCTCCTCCTCCTCCTCCTCCTCACCACTGCCTCCTCCTCCTCCTCCTCCTCCTCCTCCTCCTCCTCCTCCTCCTCCTCCTCCTCCTCCTCCTCCCCCTCCCCCTCCTGGTCGTCGTCGATGTCTTTCAGGGTCGGCGGCACTGGCCGTCAGACCTTTACAATCAATTGGGTGGCGATCGTTGGAGGGCGGGACGGCGCCCAGAAAAAAAATGACCATACCCATGGCGGTAAGGCGATGCAACACGATAACAATCACAGCTTGCGAAATGCCCTTGCGTCGCACCCATCCCCCCAAGCCCAAGAGTTAAGGCGTCCACACTTTGTCCCTGGCCTATGGCCTGCCGCCCAGGCCGTCAACTTTGAATTCGCGGAAGGGGGGGTATGCACTTTGGTCCGACGTGCTTTGATAACTCAAAGTATTGGCGAAACACGTGTGGACACTTTCAGTCCACCCGCCGGAGGGGTGCACCTTTCGCGCCCCTCTGGGGCCCCAGGGCCCCTTTAGTGCACGAAAAGACGCCCACCACCTTTATCGGCCCAGGTGGCCGCCTCATGAGCAGGCGGCAAGCGGCGCTAGACCCGGCAGCAGAAAACGTGGTGAGTGCGCAGGCCACTATTCACTTGTAGACGTTCCCCATCTATCGCACCCCCATTACTGAACGCCCGACCCCGTCGCTGCCCCCTGACCTTCCAGCAGGCTACGCTGCCAGTCCTCGCCGTAAGCGTAGCTGGCGATGCCTCCCTGCCTCTGCGGCGGGCACCACTGCTGCACCTCCGTGGCACTCTCTGGCCACCGGGCCGCCCACGGCAGCAGCACCACAGAATAGCGACCGAACCAGCAGCGAAGCCAAAACCGAAAACGACAGGCCGCAAGGCAGCCTGGAAAGGCGAAGCGACGCAGCAACGGCACGGCAGACGACCGAAACGAACCGAACACACCCGAACCAGCCGAGACACGGACACCGCTGAATCAGCCTCTGGAGGGCTGGCCAGCCGGTCAACGACAATTGCCTAGCCAGTTGGCAAGCCAGCCGGCCAGCTCAAGAAAAATAATGGACATGGCAAACAATGACACCTTTGCGGCCCTTGTGGCCCTTGTGGCGGAAGACCCTCGACAGCTTTACACAGTTACGATGGGGGCCACGATAAGGAGCCACGATGGGGGGATTGAAATAGGGATGAAGATAGGGATAGGGATCTAGGGTTTGGGGTAAAAAGCAAGGGAGACAAGGTTAGGGATAGTGATGCTGATAGGATTTTAGGATCGGGGTAAAAAACGGGTAGGGAGAATGAGATGGATACAGGCAAAGGGGCACAGCGAGGTTTCTAACACACACGATGTCTAATACATGCGATGTTGTAAACACAAGGTCGTCGACTAGGGGTGAATCGAGCATCGCGCGTATATGTATATAATAAAAGGAAAGAGAGACATGTATATATTAAAAATGCAAACATGCATGCATACATACATGCATACGTGCATATATGAATGCATGCATGCATGCATGCATACATGCATCCATACCAACATACATCCATAATTATACACCTACATACATACGTACATACGTGTATATATATATATATGTGCAGACACACGCACACATGGGTACGACCATACCAAAAATACATGCATGCATACACACACATACATACATACATGCGTACATGGTGGTGCACGTCGATGGGTTGGTATACAAACATACATACAACATACACATGCGCATACATACAAACACCGGTACAACATACACACAGCCATACACAGATACATCTACATGATATACATCGACATGTATATATACATATATACACGTGCATATGCACATACACATGCATTCGCACGTACATATAGGCATGTACACAATTACAGACACGCAAGCATGCACATGGACTCATTATTACACACACATAGACACGTATTGTTATACATACTAACCTACCAGCATACAATCATACATCATTAAACGCATACAAATGACAATACACACATGCGTACATACATACATACGGCACATGCACACATGCGTACATACTTACATGTTACATAGTTTAACTAGAACTATTACTATAACTATCAGTTTGTATTTCACAAACAGCGTTTGCACAAAAGGTTCTTTACTTCATTTCCGCGGAGTCGGCCCTGCTTGTTGGTTTGGCAGCTCCTCCGTGTTCGCGGTCGCTGCCACGTCGCCGCCCCGTCGCCACCCGTCGTCTGGGCCTGATTATTCGCCGTCGCCGCCCCGTCGCCGCCTCGTCGCCGCGCGTCGTCTGGGTCTGACCGCTGGTCTGGCGGGTCTGTTGCCACCGTCGCCGACCCGTCGCCGCCCCGTCGTCTCCCGTTGTCTGGGCAAAATTGCCAATCTGGCGGGTATGTTGTCGCCGTCGCCGCCCCGCCGCCGCTTCGTCGCGATGTTGCGTTACTTTGCCGTGTGCATTGTGTTGCATTGCTCGGCATTGTGTCGGATAGCGTTGCATATAGTTGTGTTGACCTCTTTTGGTCCGCAATGGATTGCATTAGGCTGCAGTGTTTCGCGCTATTTCGCATTGGCCACATCGATTACAACACACGTATCACAAAGCAGCGAATGCACAGCATTGGTTTCGCAACATATACTGCACAATGCTGACTGCACAACAGAGGCTGCTTCACATCGGTTGCACCACACAGATCGCCCCACATAAATTGAACAACGCCATGGGTTCACCATATGTTGAACCGCATGACCTGCGCCACATATTTTGCACCACCTAAGCTGCCCCACAAACATGCCACGACCTACACGGCATTTCATTCATAAAAAATGCACCACGTACATTGCACAACATGGATTGAACAACACAGATTGCACAACGTAGCTTGCACAACACACATTGCACGGCACATATGGCACAAACTAAATTGCACCACGTAAATTTTTCCACATAGGATACACAACATAGGGTGCTAGATACACACTGGCTGGGGCCCACGCTGGCGAACATAACTGTACACATATACTATATACACATGTTGTTTAAAAGCGTGGCCAGAGATCCTTGAAGGCCCCCCGCGCAAACGGGGTAAAAACACCGTCGCGCACTCCCGCCGTTGCACCATGGCGCGCGCGTTAGAGTACTTGGCTAATCGGGAAAACACGCCCAGGTACTCAAAGATGAAACCCAGGCACAAGCACCAAGCGAAATGCGGCCGTTAAGAAACGAAAGCCAGCGCGAGCGAAGCAAGGGGACTCGGCCGCCAGGCACACCGAAACGGGCCCAGGGGATGCAACTTCCAAGGGCAAAGAGGAGGAGGAGGAGGAGGAGGAGGAAGAGGAGGAGGAGTTGCCCCCCAACCGCAGTGCGCATACAACGTTCCGTCGCCCATAGTCCACGCCAGGGCGCGCCGCCTGGCGGGCGCGCGCCCAACTCGAGGAGGGAGGAGGAACAAGCAGCAGGACAGGACAGGGGAAGGGCACCTACCGCACCGCTGATCCCCAGCAGCGCGGCAGGCCCGCGCGACAGCGCCGAAGCACCTCGCGCGCGGGGGCATCGACGCACCTGCGCCCGCCAACGGAAACCGCGGGAGGCCACGACCGAAGGCGGGGGGGGGGGCGCACTCGACACGGGGGCGGGCCATGCCCCGCAAAAAGTGGCGCTTGCACTCGCCGCCCCCGCGCGCGTACATACATACATGCGTACATGGTGGTGCACGTCGATGGGTTGGTATACAAACATACATACAACATACACATGCGCATACATACAAACACCGGTACAACATACACACAGCCATACACAGATACATCTACATGATATACATCGACATGTATATATACATATATACACGTGCATACGCACATACACATGCATTCGCACGTACATATAGGCATGTACACAATTACAGACACGCAAGCATGCACATGGACTCATTATTACACACACATAAACACGTATTGTTATACATACTAACCTACCAGCATACAATCATACATCATTAAACGCATACAAATGACAATACACACATGCGTACATACATACATACGGCACATGCACACATGCGTACATACTTACATGTTACATAGTTTAACTAGAACTATTACTATAACTATCAGTTTGTATTTCACAAACAGCGTTTGCACAAAAGGTTCTTTACTTCATTTCCGCGGAGTCGGCCCTGCTTGTTGGTTTGGCAGCTCCTCCGTGTTCGCGGTCGCTGCCACGTCGCCGCCCCGTCGCCACCCGTCGTCTGGGCCTGATTATTCGCCGTCGCCGCCCCGTCGCCGCCTCGTCGCCGCGCGTCGTCTGGGTCTGACCGCTGGTCTGGCGGGTCTGTTGCCACCGTCGCCGACCCGTCGCCGCCCCGTCGTCTCCCGTTGTCTGGGCAAAATTGCCAATCTGGCGGGTATGTTGTCGCCGTCGCCGCCCCGCCGCCGCTTCGTCGCGATGTTGCGTTACTTTGCCGTGTGCATTGTGTTGCATTGCTCGGCATTGTGTCGGATAGCGTTGCATATAGTTGTGTTGACCTCTTTTGGTCCGCAATGGATTGCATTAGGCTGCAGTGTTTCGCGCTATTTCGCATTGGCCACATCGATTACAACACACGTATCACAAAGCAGCGAATGCACAGCATTGGTTTCGCAACATATACTGCACAATGCTGACTGCACAACAGAGGCTGCTTCACATCGGTTGCACCACACAGATCGCCCCACATAAATTGAACAACGCCATGGGTTCACCATATGTTGAACCGCATGACCTGCGCCACATATTTTGCACCACCTAAGCTGCCCCACAAACATGCCACGACCTACACGGCATTTCATTCATAAAAAAATGCACCACGTACATTGCACAACATGGATTGAACAACACAGATTGCACAACGTAGCTTGCACAACACACATTGCACGGCACATATGGCACAAACTAAATTGCACCACGTAAATTTTTCCACATAGGATACACAACATAGGGTGCTAGATACACACTGGCTGGGGCCCACGCTGGCGAACATAACTGTACACATATACTATATACACATGTTGTTTAAAAGCGTGGCCAGAGATCCTTGAAGGCCCCCCGCGCAAACGGGGTAAAAACACCGTCGCGCACTCCCGCCGTTGCACCATGGCGCGCGCGTTAGAGTACTTGGCTAATCGGGAAAACACGCCCAGGTACTCAAAGATGAAACCCAGGCACAAGCACCAAGCGAAATGCGGCCGTTAAGAAACGAAAGCCAGCGCGAGCGAAGCAATGGGGACTCGGCCGCCAGGCACACCGAAACGGGCCCAGGGGATGCAACTTCCAAGGGCAAAGAGGAGGAGGAGGAGGAGGAGGAGGAGGAGGAGGAAGAGGAGGAGGAGTTGCCCCCCAACCGCAGTGCGCATACAACGTTCCGTCGCCCATAGTCCACGCCAGGGCGCGCCGCCTGGCGGGCGCGCGCCCAACTCGAGGAGGGAGGAGGAACAAGCAGCAGGACAGGACAGGGGAAGGGCACCTACCGCACCGCTGATCCCCAGCAGCGCGGCAGGCCCGCGCGACAGCGCCGAAGCACCTCGCGCGCGGGGGCATCGACGCACCTGCGCCCGCCAACGGAAACCGCGGGAGGCCACGACCGAAGGCGGGGGGGGGCGCACTCGACACGGGGGCGGGCCATGCCCCGCAAAGGGTGGCGCTTGCACTCGCCGCCCCCGCGCGCGTCCGGGGCGGAAGAAACTCACGGAAGGGCCAAACTGCACTGCTGACTGTGTCCCCTCAGAAACGCACGCCGGGCGCCTCGTCGACAGGCGCGGGATGGGCGCGGCGGCGGGGCGGGAGGGGCGGCCGCGCTCTCTCGCGGGCGCCGCCGCTCGCCCCCTGACCATCTCACCCGCGGTCAGAAAGGCCCGGCCCAACACCGCGCCACGGCTGGCAGCAGCTGCGGCGCCGCGGAGCAGCAGAAGGGAGGCGCGCAGGAGTGGGCGCACAACAGCAGCAACAGCGACGATAGCAACAGCAGCAGGGGGCAAACCAAGGGGCACAAGAGCGGAGACAATATCGAGGTCCCAGACAGCGCACCGCGCCGCAGAGAAGGGAGGCAGCGGTAGGGGCAGGGAGGTACAGGGACTTAGAGCAGGGGCCAGGACCCATCGGGCCATGAGACATTTCGTCGCCGAGCCCAATGCGCACAGGGACAATGCCAAATAGAAAAGCGGAGCGACACTGAAAAAACTGAACGCGGCCCACTCGGCACAAGGAGCCAGTGGACATAGGAAATGCTACAAGGGCCCGCAGGCGAGGAAAGGGGCGAGACCCAGGACGCAGCGACAAAAGCAAGATGAGGAAGGAGGAAGCGCGCCGCCGATGGCCAAGGGGCGCGACGCAACCACGCAGAGCATCTGGAGAGGCGGGCAGCGAGAGCGGCACTCGCAATCATCACTCTCCAGGAGCCCACACTGGCCAAGGCATGTCTGGCGCCTCGCCTCCATGGCCATAGGGAAACAAGTCTTCCAAAGAAAAACGATTTCGAGAAAAGTACACAGCGCGACAAGGGGCCGCATAATTGAAAATGGAAACGAGACCTTGGGGCCCCGGGGTCACGAGCAGCAACGGCAAACAAGGGCAACTGTCTTACGCCGCCTGGCAGTAATCCCCAGCCGTGCGCGAAATACCTTTCGCGGAGGAGGCACAGTGCCTACGCGGCGGTGGGCGTGGGTCTTCAGCGAGGCATCAGGGCCGGCGCCGGCATCGATCTCACGATCCAGCCCCCACGCTGGGGCCAGAAGAGCGAGAGTAGCGAAGCGAGACTCGCAATGGCGCAGAAGCTCCCCCCCACCGCCCTCGCAGGCGCTGAGAGCCCGGGATCCAAAGGAGGGCTAGAGATCTGAACTGACTGAACTGAACGCAGGGCAGCGCTTGTAGCGGTTTAGGCCCCCTGACCTCCACAGCGGAAACAGCGCCCTCCGTCAGCGCGATGAAACCTGACCGAGGTGCGCGCCGCCCTGGACAAAATCCGGCGAACGCAAGGCTGGCCCCGCTCGCCGCGGCCCACTTCGGGGCGGCGCTAGACACCCGCTGAGGGCGGATGATGAAACGACACCGCTCGACGGGGCACCGCGCAACAGGGTAGACTAGAGGAGAGCAGGGGCCGAGGCACAGTAGAGCGAAACAGAATGCAGCAGGGCAAGGGAAAGAACACTCAGGGGTACAAGCAGATTTGGATTTGGATCAGAGCGAGGCAAAAAATCGACGCGGAAGCAACACCTCGCAACAGCTGAGGGGACCGGCGAAAGTCCCCCGCGCGTTCCCGACGGGCCCCCAGGGGGCACCCCGCGAGACCCTCGCGTACATCCATGCGACCCCTGGCCGACTGGAAGGGCGCAGTGGCGGGTCGGGCCGAAGGCCGCTAGATTACTTCTGCGATCGTCGCGCGCGGTCGCCCCCGAGGGTCGGCGGAGCGGCGCCAGCCGCTCGCGCAATGGCAGAGCGCCGATAGAAGCCAAGGGCGGCGCTCGGGCAGGAGTATCCGATCGCGGCGGGGCACCCACAGGCAGCGAGAATAAACCAAAAGCTGCAAAACGACCATGGAGAGAAGACCGCACCCGACGCCGACCGCGACGACGAGCGAAGGGCAGCGGGGAGGCCCGCGAAGGACAGGCGCGGGCGTAAGGCGCGGGCGCCACGGCAAAATCCTTGCCGAACTCTTCCCGCGCGCGCCCTTGGGCCAGTTCCGCGCGCGCGGCGGCCCGATCGACTTCCGGCCGCTTGACAGCGATGGGGCGCAATGCGAAAGCGACTCCCGTTCAGCGCCGCGAGATTCAATCGGCGACAAGCGCGGGGCACGCGCGGCGGCGGGGGCCGCCGCCAATGGGCCCCCCGGGGCCAGAAAGCCGCGCATTGCCACGCTCTCTCTGGCCGGCCAAAGAAATGGCATAGAAAATCCCCTGGCTGGCGAGTCGGGGACAAGTAGGCGGCCGGGCGTTTCGGCGATACGCCTGCCGAAGTTCACCCGCGCATGGCAGGCGCGCAAGATCTCGCGCCGCCGTCGCGCAGGGCTCCGACGACGGGGCCCCGGGGAAGCAGCTCAAGCCGCTCGAGCCGACGGCGCCTTGGGCGTGCCCGAACGAAGAGCAGCTTCGCGCGCGCCGCTTCGGCGGCGGCGGCGTCGCTGGACGGGGCGGCCGGACTGGGGGGCGCCGCTGCATGATTCCCATGGTCGAACTCATTCTCCTGGCCATTGGCACCGCCCTCCAGCACGCGCACCTTCACCTGGCGGCTCAGCAGCGCAATGATCCGCGCCCGATTGCCGTCGAGATCCTTCTCGCCGCTCACCGCGGCGGCGGCGTCGCCCGCCTTCATCGAGGGTGCCTTCGCCTTCTCTCCGCTGGGTTCGGCGCCCCCTGCGTCCGCGGCCGCGCCGGGCTCGGCGCGGCCCTCGGCGCCCGCCGCCGCGGGCGCGCCCCCCGCCGACGCTGCCTGCTGGGCGGCGCCCCCGGGCAAATGCCTTCCTTCGCCAGCGGCGGCTCTGCCTGCGGGAGCGCGCTCAGCCGCTGCACCGCGGGCCCAGTGCCCCCCGCGCACTTCTTCCAGGCGGTAGTTCCCGTCGCCTTCGCAAGTTCCCTGATCGCGCCAACGGGGGCCTGCCGGAGCGGCGCGGCCAAGGCCCCCAGGGCGTTCGGGCGCGGCATCACCATGAACTTCACGGCGGAGAGCTGCGCGAAGATCTGGAAGTCGACGCTCTCGAGACTCTCGCGGAGACACTCGTCGAGCATGCCGCGCGTCGCCAGGACGTTTTCGGCCACGGGGCGCGCCGCGGCCTCAAGGGCATCGCCCAACGCCGGCTCGACGAGCAGCTCCGCGGCCGCCGCGCAGTCGCTCCGCGAAGCCCCCAGCGCCCCGCCCTCCGCCATCGGCGGCTCTACAACGCGCAAATCGCGGGGCGATTACCACGCCCGCGGCGCCGCGATTCGGCCCCGCATCTCCACGACGCACGTCAGCTCGACGTCACGGGGCAAGTCCTTCGCGATCACGATGGCGACCTCGACCCGGTCAGAGCGCCTCTGCACGCCCAACTCCCCCACCTTCTTCTGCGGCGCCCCCAGCCCCGCCAGCGGGGGCGGGGCGCCCTGCGGGGCCTCCATGACAGCGAAACGCGACCCCGCCCGCCCCCCAGAACGCTTTGCACAGCTCGCTCTGCTACAAACAAAGCCCTGATCATTTTCAAACCCATGTTCCCGAACTCAATTGGAACGTCGCAGGAAAGGCCCGCGCGCGCCAACTCCGCGAACGCAGCCCGCCGCGCCCGAAAGACCAAGCTCTCGCGATTGCCAGCGATCTCCTTCGTCAGCTTCACGACTGGGCCCAAACTCTCGAAGGACTCAGACGGCAAGAGGCACTCAAACACGAGGGGGGCACACTGCTGCACGGAAGGGTCGAACGGCCGGTCGCCCGGCGAGACCGCGGGCCCTGCCCGCGCGCGCTCGACGAACGAGCGCAAGTGGAACTCCACGGCGTCACAACGTCGGGGTCATCAGAGACCCAGCGATGGGCCAAACCAGCTTCCTCCGTGTCCTCCGCAAGCTGCTCGGGCGCATCCTTCATCAAGGTGGCCTCGCCTGTGCTGCCCGCCCGCAACAACGAGCGTTTGCGCTTGCCCGCGCCGCCGTCGGCGCCGACTGGGGCCGCCAGCGCGCTCTTCGGCCCTGGCTCGAAAGTCTCGTTGGGCTCCTCGCTGGGCTCCTCGTCGGAGCGGTCGTCGCGGGCCCGCTCCCCGCCACCCCTGACCTTGTCCTCAAGCCCCACGGGAAACAGCCAGGAGGGAACGGAGCACCTGCGCCCCACCGACGAGCGCCACTTCATCACACCCTTTCCCCAAGTCGCCCAGACCATGGCGGCGTCGACGACCTGCGCCTCGTCGTGGGTCACCGAGCTCGGCCACGACACCGAACTCCTCGGATCGCAGAGCATATCCTTCGCAATCTCCTCGTCAAGCGACGGGCAGAAGGTTCTCATCAAGATGAAGAACGCATGCTGCAACGCGTCAGCCGAGGTAGTCTCGCTCCGCCCTCGCGATCAGATCAACCCTGACGCGGCTGAACCCCATGGCGCGCAGACCAAGGTAGTGGTTCACGTTTTCCTCGCCCACTGGAATCCCGGTGTCGGGGCTCTCTTTCGCCAGGCGCGCAAGCGCCCTGTACGAAATCTCCCGGGCGCCTTGCACCGCCGTCCTCTCGCCCGAGACAACTTGGCTCGCATGCTCCCGAACGTTGGCAAACATTGCGCTGTCCGCGGCCGCGGCGCTCGGCATGCTGAGGCCGACCAGGGGCGCGCGCGCACGGTGCGAGCGGGTGCCTGCGAGGGCGCAACCTGCGCCGACTTTCGAACCAAAGTGGCAGCCACGGAAGAAGGGGGAGAACGAGGAGGAGGAGGAGGAGGAGGAGGAGGAGGAGGAGGAGGACGAGGGGGACGAGAGAAAGGCGGCGGACGACGACGACGACGACTACGAGCACGACCGCGGCCGCGACGACGACGACGACGACCACCACAACAACCACGACGATTACGACCACGACCACGACCACGACCACGACCACCACGACGACGACGACCACGACGACGACGACGACGACGACGACGACGGGCAGCACGGCGAAAGCCTGTCCGAAATGCAAAACATGGACGACGACCGCGGCGACGACGACGACTACCACCGCCACCGCCACGACGACGACGACGACCACGAAGACGACGACGACGACGACGACGACGACCACGACGACGACGTCGACGACGACGACGACTGCAACCACCACCACGACCACGACGATGACGACGACCACGACAACGACGACGACGACGACGACGACAACCACGACGACTACGCCTACGACCACAACCACGCCGACGATGACGACGATGACAACGACGACCACGACAACGACGACGACGAGAACTACGACGACGCCGACGACTACGACCGCAACCACGGCGACAATAACGACGATGACGACGACCACCACGACCACGATGACGACGACGACGAGAACCACGACCGCGACCACCACAGCGACCACGACGACTACGACGACGACGGGCGCCACGGCGAACTCCTGCCCGAAATGCGACCCGGGGACATCGACAACGACAGCCGCCACCACGACGACGACGACGACAACGACGACGACGACGACGACGGGGATTCAGATCACGACCGCGCCCACGACCACGACGACGACGACGACCACATCCACGACGACGGCTACGACCATAAACACGATGACGACGACGACGACGACGACTACGACTACGACGACGACGACGACGACGACGACGACGACGACGACAACTACGACCACGACCGCGACCGCGACCGCGACCACGACGACGCCGACGGGCGCCACGGCGAACTCCTTCCCGAAATGCGACAGGAGGACGACGACGACGTCCGCCGCCACCACGGCGACGACGACGCCGACGACCACGAACACGACCACGACAACGATGAAGACCACGACGACGACGACCGCCACCGCCACCGCCTCGACGACGACGACGACGGCTGCGACCGCGACCTCGACCGCCACCACGACGACGACGACAACGATACCCGGCGCCAAAAACGCGGCTCCGGGGGCGCTTCCAGGCCTGCGACGCAACTCGACGCAACGCGGGCGGGCGTCCACGGCGCCGGCCGTAGAACGCTCGCAAAGAGGAGGCGGAAGAGACGGGGGGAATGGGGGGGCGCTGAAGGCGGAGGAGGGGAGGCGACGCGAGGAACGCGTTACGGCGAAAACGCCTTTGGGAATCAGGCACTTGTCTTTCACAGCAACTCTTCACCCCGGGCCCGTTTCCGCGAGCCCCCGGGCATGAACGCTGAAAACAAGATACACTCGCAGTTTATCTCCACGCTGATCCCCCCCACACACAGACACACACACACACACACAACAACAACAACCCAGCACGGCCACTCGCATGGCACTGGCTGGCGGGATCCGCGGCCCCGGTCAAAAAGCACCCCGCCACCTGCCCGCGGCGGAGAGCGCCCGCGGGCGGGGCCGCGCCGAGCCCCCGCCACGCTCTCGCCGCAAAGGATTTGACGGCAGGCGAACACACGGCCAAGCCGAACGCGCCTGCGCCTTTCCGAGGGCTGGGGCAGGAGCACGCCCGGACCTCGACGTGCTTCGGGTGCCGATATGGCAGCTCGAGACCAAGCGCGACTGCGAGCGCGCGAAGCTGACGATTCGCCGCGGCGGCCAATCGGCGGCGCGCCGAGGGCGGCAGGGGGGGGCCCTCAGAAGGCAGCGCGTTTCTTAACCTCTCCTGCGAAGCACCTGCCTTCTACGAGGCCCCCCCGTTCCCCCGCCCCCTTCGGCGCGCCGCCGAGCCTTCCCGCAACCGGCTTGCACGTGGCCCATCGGTGCCCGAGGAGCACGACAGACTTCGCGCTGGCCAGGTCTGCGCCCATGCCCCTCACGTTGTCTGATGTACAACGGTGGAAGGGCACCCTGCTCGCACGGCGAAGGCGCCCAGGCCAGCTTCGATGCGCGCATGGGCGAAGCACGTCCGGTCGGGGCGCGGCCCTTGCTCGGCCGCGATGGATCTCCATCTGTTCAGATCCCGCCCGCAAGCTGCCTCCACCGCGGCGCGGGCGTCAGACGACGCCGCATATCTGCGGCCGACAGATGTCGCCACCGCGGTCGATTGAGTCGCGCGCCTGCACGGCCGCGCAGACGGTCTCGAACACGGGCGAGAATTGAGCTGGAAGACGCTTCATATGCACCCCGAAACGCTCGCACTTCTCATGAAGGAAGACAACGACGCCACACTCAGTCGCTGCCACTGCCCCTCGCGACGGGGCCAAGACCACCGGAGAGGCCCAGATGACGGTCGGAGCACAACGTTAAAGGAGTACTCAGACACCTCCTCTTCCTGCTCAATGCGTTCAAGCCCGCGCTTCAACCGCCACCCTTCCCGGGCGCCCGCGAGCGCGCGTTTCGCGGCTCTAGACAGCAAGGGCCCCATCGCAGATGCGCAGGTCGCTTCGTCCAGCTGCTGCCTCAGACTGTCACGATATCGGGCCTGTCTCTTTCCACCCCGATCGCGGACAGTCGAGTGGGCCCCCGGGGCCGCGCCGGGCCCCCGCGAAAGCCGCGACGAGATCTTCGCCCCGATCCTTGCCCCCATGCTGCTCCTCTTCGGGGTCGATCACGCCGCGAAAGAGCTCCGGGGAAATGACCGCGCTGCCCGCGAGGGCGGCCCGAGCCAAAATGGCCGCGAGAGGGCGGGGGGCGGCCATGCGAGGGCCCGCGCGCGCCAGTTCCCCGGGCGGCGACAAGCTGGGGCGAGACCAGGAAGGGGGCGCCGCGGCGTCAAGAGCTTCGAAACAAACCAAGGACCCTGGATCCCACGAACATCAGGCCACCTTTCGCTGGCGCCGCTCCACGGCCGCGGGCCCCCGCCAGCCCGCCGCTGGCCTCCGCCGACGGCGACGCGAATTGCACCTGAACGGCCACGCAGGGCAGTCGAGCGCAGCCGGGCGCCACGAACTGCAACTACAGAGCAACTAATCACAATTCAACCGCAACTAAACACAACTAAAAAGCGCATTCGCTGCGATTTAGCTGCGTCCTGCGATCGCGCAGCGATTTCTTTGCCTTTAATTGCGAACTCGTTGCGTTCGCGCGTTAGTTGCGACTTCGTTCCGTTCAGTTGCGCGCCAGTTGCCAATTAACGGCGTTCAGTTGCCCACTAGTTGGGAATCCACCAGCCCCCTGTGCGCAGGTGGTCTAGAGCGGCGCCTCTTCCAACCCCCATTCCCCCTTCTGTGTGGGGGGGGCACATCCTTACTAACCATGACTGATCACCCCCAAACCCCCACCTAGCCGGCCGATGGCAACCCCGCCGCCCCAACTGTAAACAACAATGCGAACTCAACTGTTCCTCGCCAACATGTCGTCGAGTTGCGAAATGTGCAACAAAACAAAAAACGAATGAACATCGTTTGGGTAACCCTAAGCGGGTGGTCGCGCCCTACCCCCCCCCCAAAAAAAAAAAAATCTCAATGTTTGTCTCGCCAGCGTGGACTGTCTTGTTTGAATGAGATTGCGGGTGAACCACCCGCTCCCCAGGGTCAGAAACAGCGGCAACGAATGGCTTCTTCTGGCAAGCGCAGGCGCGCCACGCGCCAATCGCCCCCCCCCTCCTCCGCGCCGCCGACGGCGGCCCCTCGGCTCGACCTGGAAGCAGGCAGGGCCAAACAAAACCTAGAGGGCCAGGGAGGGAAATACCCGGGAGGCGAGGGCCCGAAAGGAAAACTAGAGCCCAAGTGGGCCGCGGAGGGGGAGAGGACAGGAGAAGAGAAATGGATGGCCCTCCCCCTCCCCAGGCACCTCACACTAAAACCTCACGTTCTAGGCTGCCGCGCGAACTCTCACGTGCGAGTGAGCCCGCGCCCGGAAAAACCAAAGAGCGGGTGACCCACCCGCCCCCAAGGATCAGAAGCAGCGGCAGCGGCGGGCTTTTCCTGGCATACGCAGGCGCGCCACGCGCCAGCCGCCCTCCTCCTCTGCGCCGCCGATGGCGGCTCCTCGGCCACCCGGCACCCCGCGGGGCCTCGGCGCCGGTCGCTGCCGAAGGGTCGTCACCGCTGGGCCGCAGCCTCGCCCCCGCCGCCGCCGCTGATCGCGCCGCGGGGCCGCCTCGAGGCCCCCGCCCGGGCTGGGAGGGACCTGGCCCAACGCCCAGCACACATTCCACCTCCACCTGCATCTTGCTCGCCCGCTCCTCTTCAAACGACCTCAGGCTGCGACCGGGCCGCTGCCCCAAGGCCGCCGCCCCTCAGACTGCCGGCAATCCTGCACTGGCCTCCTTAGCGGCACCTGCGTCGCAACCGTCGGCACTCTCCGGGCCGCAGCCCGACCTGGCGGTCATGCCGCCAGCCAAAAACGCTACCTCGCCGCAGCCAAAATGGCTATCCTCGACGCCACGCCTTGGGATCTGGCCAGCGCCCTGCCATCTCCTGCTTCGCTGGCGGCTGCGACTCCCCCCGCAGCCGTCGCCTTATAGCCGACGTGCAGGGTCGCGACTGACTTCGCCATCGCCTCGGAGACCCCCGCCGCGTTTTCGTTCGCCCCACACAGATACTGGTGGAAGGCCCCACTGTTCCACCGCCCCTACCGCTTCACCAACTCCGTGTCCTGGAAGCAGCGGCACAGAGCAGTCGCCCCGCCGATGCGGAGCGAGGGGCTCTTGAACCTGTCCGGCGGGTAGCCCTCAAGCGCCGCCGCCTTCTGGAGCAAGTCCTGGAAGCGCGCCCGCGCGATCGGGCTGCCGCCCGCCCACCTCGCGAACGGTAAGTGCGCCTC